GAGACATTTTATAATCATTTTTCTGAATTCTTTCTCAGGTATATCCAAGGCCTGCCCTCCTTCCAGCATGGAGAGAAGGTCTACTTCTGGTTCATTTGTCTCAGATATTTTATCTTTTTTCTGGACATGTGCCTATATGGTCATCTGCTTTTGCTTCTTGGACGTGTTTAATGTTTATCTGTGGCCCTAATAGTTAATTAAGTATGTATTTTGGTAATTTTTTATGTTTTCTGATTATCTCCAGGGAGATGTGATTAGGATGTGTTCTTCCCTTTTCCTTCTTCGTATTGGTTAACTCAGAGTAACTTTTTTGGGTCTCAGTTGAGCCTGGGCCTGGGCTGCGGGCCGTTTGGGCCTCGGGTGGGTGGGTTGAGCATAGGGCGGGTGGTTTGAGCCTTTGGGGAACTGGGCTGCAGGAGGGTTGGGCCTTGGGCGGGTGGTTTGGGGCTGGGGTGGGCGGTTTGGGCCTCGGGGCCTGGGTATCAGCAGCTGGGCATCGGGCGGCTTGGGGCTTGGCAGGCTGGTTGGGCAGATTGGGTCTTGGGGGGCCTGTGCCTCGGTGACTGGGCTACGCGGCGGGTTGGGCCTTGAGGACCCTGGACCTCGGTGGCAACCGGGCTGTGGGCTGCCTGGGCCTCGTGGCGGGTAGGTGATTTGGGCCTTGGTTGGACCTGGGCCTTTGTGACCAGTCTGTGGGCCTCGGGGCAGGCCTTGGCCTCAGTGGGCGTGTATCTGATGATGTAAAAAATGCCTTTCTCAGTCTGTCTGTACCGTGGGTACCCCGAATTTCCTGATATCTGCACTGATATCCCTCTCTATTTGTTCGGCTTTGTTAGTTTATGCTTCCTTTTCTCTGAAAATGCAGCCTTCTAAATAGGTTTGCTCTAGCCCTGCACTCCAAGGTCCGCAAGGGGCCGAGGCACTCACCAGCGTGGGCGCGGGGAGCGGGGGCCGCGTGCAGGCAGGCAAAAGCGCAAAATGCCTGTAATTCCTCAGCAATTTGATCTTTCAAAAAAAAACGAGTTCAGAATGTTGAAATATAAGATCTTATGTTTGCTCAAAGGCTGTCTGTCTGCTAGACAGAGGTTTCCTGTGTGCGATTCTGCCCCTTTTTCCCAGAGCCCTACCTGAGCTGCCTGGTCTGGGAAGCGCCGGAAGTCCCTTCCCCCCAAAAGTCCTTTCTGATTCTTGTCTTAGCATCCCTTGTCTGAAAGCTGTTGTTTCTCTTTGAAAGCTTGTAGTGCCTTTTCCTCAGTGCTCTGACGTTTCACCTGTTAATACAGACTCGAGAGGTCCTTCTTGTCTGGGAGGTCGCCTAAAATCATCTCTTTCTGTTGAGAGAGATTTGCTAGAATTAGTTCACTTACCTTCTGTAAACCTTTACATCAAATATTAGACTTTTTTGACTGGTGTGCTTCTGTTTTTTCTTCTCTTCAGTTTTCCAGTTCTCTGTGTGAATCTCTAGGAGATTTCTATAACTTTTTTCAACTCTTTTTTACATTTCACCTATTGTATCTTTAGGAATCCTGGTGTGACTCTGTAGAATAAGTACTGGACTGCTAACTACAAGGTCAGTGGTTCAAACCTACCAGCTGCTCCTCGGAAACCCTACTCTGCATCGCTAGAGTTGGAACAGACTCAACAGTACTGAACAACAACAACATTTTATCTTGACTTCTGAGCTCTTTCAGTGTTTCCACTTTTTGTCATGTCTGATATTTTATGACTGTAATAGCTTAAGAGATCTAAGAGACTTCTCTGAGGTGTTGATTTATGTCTGTATCTTCCAACTTACTTTCTCCCGGTTCTTTGGCTTCTGTCTTTGTAGTGGAGTCTTCTCCAAGATCTTCTTCAGTTTCCAACTCTCTGGAACTAGAGAGCATGTGTCTTAGTGCTACTGGTTTTCCACAGTTAGGGTGATCTGCTTGAGCTGTTCTCTGGAAGAATCCACAGTGGCAACATAATTAGGTCTGATCACAATCTGGAGGGAAAGTTGACTCTGTTTTGCTGGTGTTCTGGGGGCTGCGATGGGGAAGAGGGTTGAGTGTCTCAGTGTTGGATATATAGACTTTCCTTTTCCTCTTTCCGATACAACACCATTTTCTTCAACCGTGCATTGGATCCTCCATGTTGTTGTTCTGTCGAATAGGGTTCTGACTCAGCAATGCTGTCTAGGGTTTCTAAGGAGTGGCTGGTGGGTTAGAACTTCCGACCCTGTGGTTCGCAGTCCAGTGCTGATTTCTTATTCTTTTTTTCTGAAAGTGTGTAATATTTGTCTGGATTGAAGGGAGAGTCATCTGTGCAGAGTCGGAGAAGGATCTGACATTTGGAAATAAGACTTTTAAGGGGCTCCTCCTGCTTTTAGACCCATATTCAGCCATATTTTCAGAAGTACCAGCATCACTGCTGTCTAAGACTTTTAGGGATCATACAGAGAAAATTGGGTACCTTTTTTGATTTCCCCACTGTTGACTTCAGGATTCAACTCTGATATGCTAAATCAGGAAGCTCTTGTATATCCACATTCCAGCTTCCAGAATTTCTCCCAGGCTCTTGGTCCTATTTGGTTTATGTGTTAGATTCCTAACCCTTGAAGTTGGAGACGGGATCACAGGCTACATTAGGCCCCGTCTCTAGGCAGAAACCTCTGGCATGAGATTGGCTTCCTGGTGGCCAATACGAACAGGAATGGATTTTATTTCTTCCAGGCTTGAGTTCACATTTTTGTGTATCTGTTTTGCTTTCATAGGTGCCGACCTTTGCAGTTCCAGCCATCAAAATCTCACAAGAAGGTCCTGAAAAAAATGTTGAAATTTCTGTCTAAAGGAGAGATCTCGAAAGGAAGTTATGAGGGTAAGAGGAGATGGTCCTGTCTGTCTAAGTTGCTCTGTCTGTCAGGGGTGTAAGTTAGGGAATCCTGGTGTAGCACTGTAGGAGAAGCACTGGACTGCCAGTCATATCGTTGGTGGTTCAAACCAACCAGCTGTTCCTCAGAAATCCTAAACAGGGTTGCTGTGGGTTGGAACCAACTCAATGGCCCTTAACAACAGCAGCCAGAAGTTAGGGAAAGGGGGCCCTTGTCATGGTCATGGACAACTACAGTGATGACAGACAGATGCCACTATTCGCTCGCCGGTCCCCGATGCTGGAATCTCTGGAATAAATGTCTGTGAGCATCTGGCTGGGGAAGAAGGTGGAGGCCATTTTTAAAACGCTCTGGCTTCCTGGAATTTATTTGAAATCTTAGTTTTCAAACTGCTTTGGCAACTTTTAGTGTATTCTATCCTAATACTGAGGAACATGGTGGCTCCATACAAGAAGCACAGGACTGCAAACCACAGGGTCAGCAGTTTGAGCCCACCAGCTGTTCCGCAGGAGAAAGATGAGGCTCTCTGCTCTCACAAAGATCTACAGCCTCGTAAACCCTATACAGGGTTGCTATGAGTCAGAACTGACTCGATGGCACTTTGCAACAACAACAACAGCAACACTATCCTCATGAAAGAACTAGAAAGTGGTATTGTCAGTTTCTAGTTGGATGTAGTTTATTCAGCTAGATAACTACTAGGAAGTAGTTTATTCAAGATTGCATAATCAGTTTCAGGGCTGCGTGAAGTGCAGGTTTTCTGTATTTGAGTAAAGCCTTACTTTACTAAATTATATTGCCTGGAATTCGCTTTCTTATTTGTCTGGTGTATTTTGAATTGCAAATGAATTTCCTACAAGATAATTAGTAACTCCTGGTGTGTCACTGTAGGATCAGCACTGGATTGCAAACCACAAGGTCGGTGGTTCAAACCCACCAGCTGCTCCTTGGAGACCCTGTACAGGGCTGCTGTGACCCAACGGCATTGAACAACAACAATGAGCTTTGGGTAGATGTTTAGTTTTTTTACGTTTTTATTGTACATTTAGTTTTTAAAACTTGTTTGGTACTTTTTGCTTAGCTAGTTCTACTCTGTCTTATGAAGTGTGGTTATGAGTCGAGGTCGGCTCAGCAGTGGCTTTGGTGTTTTGGTAGCGAGTGCCCTAATGTGAGCGTAGGGACTGTGAGAGCGTCTCTTCTTCTTTTCTCTCATTAAGCTTTGTTTCAGTGGGTCTCCCAATTCTGTGACAAATTTTTGGTCAAGTTGTTTCCGTTTAAAAGGTACTGATTTTAAAAAGTAATAACTTAAAACTGCCACACAACAAAGAAACCAATGGTCCACATGGCATTCCTTTCCCCTGGAAGACTTGATGTTGCATTGTTATCATTAACCAGTCTTTTACTGTCAAACTGAAATGGCCAATTGAGACAAAGCGTTCTGAGACCGTTCTTCCACCAGTGATTAAGATGGAGAGGCAAGTGTTAAAGGCAATATTCATTGAGCCTCTGAGCTTTCTGAGCAGACTTGGTGACTTTGCAGCTCCAGCAGCCTTTTGGTCCCCTGCCTTGATTGACACTCACAACAACAGTCTGTCTCATTTTGCAAACAGCGAAACCACTCAGAGGAGGGTAGCTGGAGGTGCACTCAGCATACATGGGCTTGCCGGGAACCATGGCAGCGTCACCAGACTTTAAGAATTTGGGGCCATCTTCTGGCTTTTTACCACGCCGGCGATCAATCTTCTCCTTGAGCTCAGCAAACTTGTAAGCACTGTGAGCTGTGTGACAATCCAGCACTGATTTGGCCTGGAGGGTTCAGAATGATCACCTGTGCAGTGAAGCCAGCTGCGGCCATTGCTGGGTCATTTTTGCTGTCACCAGCCACATTGCCATGGCGAACATCTTTGACAGAGATGTTCTTTACATTGAAGCCTACATTGTCCCCAGGCAGAGCTTCACTCAAAGCCTCATGGTGCATTTCAACAGAGTTTACTGCAGTGGTAACATTGATGGTAGCAAAGGTGACCACCATGCCTGGTTTGGGAACACCAGTCTCTACTCTGCCCACAGGGACAGTGCCAATACCACCAATCCTTAGACATCCTGGAGAGGCAGATGCAGGGGGAGAAGCAGATGCAGGGGCTTGTCAGTTAGTCAAGTTGGTGGCAGGATGCAATCCAGAGCTTCAAGCAGTGTGGTTCCACTGGCATTGCCATCCTTATGGGTGGCTTTCCATCCCTTGAACCAAGGCATGTTAGCACTTGGCTCCAGTATATTGTCACCATTCCAACCAGAAACTGGCACAAATGCTACTGTGTCAGGGTGGTAGCCAGTTTTCATAACGTAGGTGCTGACTTCCTTAACGATTTCCTCATATCTCTTCTGGCTGTAGGGTGGCTCCGTGGAATCCATTTTATTAACATCAACAATTAGCTGTTTCACACCCAGTGTGTAAGCCAGAAGAGCATGCTCACAGGTCTGCCCATTCTTAGAGATACCAGCTTCAAATTTTCCAACTCCAGCAGCAACAAACAGGACAGCACAATCAGCCTGTGAGGTTCCTGTAACCATGTTTTTGATAAAGTCTCTGTGTCCTGGGGCATCAATGATGGTCACATAGTACTTGCTGGTCTCAAATTTCCACAGGGAGATATCAATGGTGATGCCTTGCTCATGTTCAGCTTTCGGTTGATCCAAGACCCAGGCGTACTTGAAGGAGCCCTTCCCCAGCTCAGTAGCTTCCTTCACAAAATTTTCGATGGTTCTTTTGTCAATTCCACCACACTTGTAGATCAGGTGACCAGTAGTGGTTGACTTGCCGGAGTCGGCATGTCCAGTAACGATGATGTTGGTATGGGTCTTTTCCTTTCCCATTTTGGCTTGGGTTTTGCGATGGTTTTCACCAACACCTGTATTCTGGTGACAAACCCATTGTGGAAAAGCAGTAGTGCCCATTCTTCGTGCCCTTTGTCACCACTGCTTTACCTACCCCAAAGCAACCCACTGCCATTGCTTCCCCGATCTGAGGAGGATGGAGTAGAATTGCCTCAGAGGGTTTCTCAGGCTATAAATTTTTATGGAAGCAGACTGCCTCTTCTCTCTCTCACAAAGTGGCTGGTGGGTTCGAACCACTGACCTTTCAGATAGCAGCCCAACACTTAACCTGTTAAGCCACTCCCTTTTTTGTTATTAAATGCTGTCGAGTTGGTTCCAACTTATAGTGACAGGGCCCTGTAAAGGGTTTCAAAGGAGTTGTTCTTAAGTGCGGTCCGGCTCACAGTGACCCTGTATAGGGTTTCTGTATAGGCTGGTGGGTTTGAACCATTGACTTGTAGTTTTGGCTGACCTTGCGGTCCAGTATGGTACCCTGCAGCGCCACACCAGGACTAGGAACTGCCTAATGTGGGACCTCCCCCGGGCAGTCTTGCTCATGAGTCCACGCAGCCAGTTTGCTGTGAATGTCTCCAGAGGTCTCGCCCCTGTTCTCAGCACCGGACATAACAGTGTTCCAGCAGACTGAGCTGTTCATGGCCTGCAGGCGCTGCTGTCACTGAGCCAGTGTCCACAAGGACCTGTCCACAAACAGCAGAGCTGGGGGCAGCAAAGAGGCCAGGGGGCTTGGGTCAGAGGGTGAGGTAGTGGGAGTATTGGAAACCTCAGAATTTTGGTGCAGCTCTGATTCTTCCTGTTGGTACTTAATCTTAATGGTTAATAGATTGGCTCATCAGTGGGCAGGAATCGTGCTGAATTCCAGAAATGAATATACAGGTAAGCTTGAAGATGCCGTCTGTTTGTAAACTGATGATTGCCTCTCTGTGCACAGACCTTGTACCTTTGGTTCTGGGAGGGGAGGTCTTTTAGGAGCCCTGGTGGTGCGCTCGGCTGCTAGCAGAGAGGTGGGTGGATCCAGGCCAGCTGCTCTGCGGGAGAACGCTGTGGCAGTCTGCATCCATAAATATGTCCAGCCTGGGAAGCTCTGGGGACACTTTGTACTCTGTTCTAAAGGATATATATATATATATATATATATATATATATATTTTTTTTTTTTTTTCCCCCCCCTTGGTATTGTTTTGTTTTTAAGTTTTTATTGTGAATTGGGTAAACTAAAGGATTTTTATGATTTGAAATGGACTCCGTGGTAACAGGATGTCAGAGGTGATTTTTTCTTGACTTGTGTGGACTTCTGAATCCCTTGGTGTGGGACTTGAGAGCAGTGCGCTCACTGGGGTAAAAGACTAAATAGCAATGTGGCGACTCAGAATGACGGCGTCTGTTTCATTCCGCATGTACCAGTCTACTGCAGGGGTACCAGAGTAACCTGTAAACCCATCCCCCAGCTACCATGAGACTTCCTTCACCTTCAGTCAAGGTGACTCCAGGGTTTACGATTGCATCCAGTGAGGAGGGAAAAGGAAAAGGGGGTGGATGGAATTGGACATCGCGTTTTTGTTCACATTTCCTTGAGAAGAGCTAAGTCACAAGTTTACAGAGGGATGGACACTGGGGTTCCTGCTGGAGCGCCACCATCTGATCACAGCTCAGGGGACGACGGATGATGGGAGAGTGTATTTGGTGGGCCCACAGTAGTCTCTACCTCCTGGATAAGGGGGCTTTTCTTACTGTGTCTCTCTGACTGTATCAGGTGGGCTGACTAATGGCTTTTTTTTTCTTCTGATCTGTAGATGAGCCCATGGACTCTACAGTGGAGGACCCTGTTGCAGGTGACTTTGCTTTGATCAATAAACTGGACATACAGTGTGATCTTACATCACTAAGTGATGACATCAAAGAGAGCTTAGAGAGTGAGAAGAAGAAAGGAAACAGTGCACGGAGAGAAGACTCCAGTGACTCGCTTCAGCCCCAGCATGTGGAAGAGAAGCTGGGTTCTGGGGAACCATCACATCTGGTTAAAGTTCAGAGCGTTCCAAAGCCAGGTAGCGAACTCATGTTGTTTGAAAGGCTCTTCTCTGTGCTGGGTGCTACTAATGACTCAGGAAATCTATGAAGGGGAACTTAGCATTCTGCCTCTAGAAACAGATATTTTAAATGGGTTCCATTTCTTCTTACTACCTTGTTATCAGGTGTTGCTGAGTTGGTTCTGACTCATAATGACCCCATATACAGCAGAACAAAACGCTGCCGGATCCTGCACCGACTTCACTGTTGTGGGTGTGGTTGAGTCTCTCTTTGAGCGGCTGCCTTTTTTTTGCCATTGACCCTCTACTTTGCCCAGCATGATGTCTTTCTCTAGGGACTGGTTCCTCCTGACGGCCTGTCCGAAGTTCTTCTGACGGAGCCTTGCCATCATCGCATCTAGGGAACATTGTGGCTCTGTATCTTCCAAGATAGATGTCTTCGTTCTTCTGGCAGCTGATGGGTACATTCAGTGTTCTTTGCTAATGCCGTAATTCAGATGCGGCAGCTCTTTGGCATTTCTTACTCATTGTTCAGCTTTCACACACATACCATGAAGCCCTTGGAAATACCATGGCTTGAGTCACACACACACACACACACACACACACACACACACACCCCTTAGTCTTCAAAGTGACATTTTAGCTTTTTAACACTTTAAAGAGCTCAGTGCAATGTGTTGTTTAATTTCTTGACTGCTGCTTCCATGCGTATTGGTTGTGGATCTAAGTAAAATGAAATCCTTGACATCTTTTATCTTTTCTCTATTTATCACAATGCATGCTGCTTATTGGTCAGTTGTGATAATTGTTTTATTTTGTTCTGTGCATAGGGTCGCTATGAGTCAGAATCAGCTCCTCAGTGCCTAACAACAGCAACAGCACTGGAAAAGACACTTTTAAAAATGGCCATTTGTGGTAAAAACTTGTATTAGATATTGGTAATGCAAATTATAGTAGTATTCAGAAACCCTAATTGAAGAGTAGCTCATTTAATCTTTATGAGACCTCCATGGGTAAGACTGGTCGTTGTGGCTCTTGTCCAGTGGTAAAGCCAAGACCATCTAGCCTGCCTGTGACTGTAGGCAGTCCCTGTTAGTTTGTGCTCTCAACAACAGCCTGGCAGTAGTGCTGCTGAAAATACACTGAAAGAAACACACCATTCCTGCTTGAAAAATGGATCCTACAAAGGCAGTGGTTACTAACAGAACCAGTCTTTTGCAATCTGGTCATTAGATCTATGTGAAGTCTTTTTTTTTTTTAAGGTAAATTTTGTTTTTAGTTGGAAATATATTGTTGTTAAGTGCTGTCAAGTCAGTTCCGACTTACAGCAACCCTGTATATGGTTTCCAAGAAGCGGCTAGTGGGTTTGAACCACCAACCTTGTGGTTAGTAGTCTAGTGCTTACCCTACAGTGCCACACCAGGATTTCCTGTTAGTGTAATATGGGTCCATTTGTGAAGAGAGGAGCTCACTGTTTCGCACAGAATGTCTATAGCAAATTGTACCACAATTCCAGGGTTGAATTTTCTTCCTCTTAACTTTCTTCTTCTTAACTTCCTTCCCACTGCTGACTTTTGTATGATTTGTGAATACTGTGTTTGGGGAATCTTAAAAAATAGTTAAGTTCTTTATTTTGCTAATAGTTTTTTGTATCAAAAAGTTACAAAATTAATGTTCATTGTTAGAAAATCTGGAGGAAAGAACGAACTGTACAAAAGAAAAGGAACATCTTTCCTATGTGCAATGTAAAATGACTATGTGAGCATGGTGGTGTGTTTCTTTTTCGGTGTTTAAAAAGGATTTTTAATGTCTATGTTTATATATAATTGGAACTATGGTCATGAATTGAGCCTAACCTCAAGGTTGGCAGTTTGAAGAAGGATGACGCTTTCTGCTCCTGTAAAGATTTTTGCAGCCTTGGAAACCTTATACAGGATCTCGGAGTTGGGACCGTCTTGATAACACCCAACATCAGCATGTAATGAGCAATTCCCTGTCTTTTAAAGCACTTACATGGCTAGCTGATATTCTGTTGGTTGGCTACTCCAAAAGTTGTGTACTTTTGCAATTGTGCATTTAGAGTGTCTTGAATTCTCATTTGTGTTCGTCAGTATTTGCTCCTTCTCTTATTATTTTCCCAGGCTCAATGCCTTGAAGAAGGTATGCTTAAAGGGTATGAATATTTTAATAGCTAAATAAAAAGTATAGTTTGCACATTAGCTACTTCAAAGGTGTAATACTTTCCTTTTAACATACTATATCAATAAAATATATACTCTCTAAAATTTATGGTTTATAATAGTTTAAATTGTTCACTTTTTAATATGTTTTATATGTTTTAATATGTTTGATATTTGGTCTTCTAATTAAAACAAAATTTGAATTAACTAGAACTGAATCAGTGAGCCCCCTTAGTTAGACAGAGACATACCATCAATCAGGCAAGGATTGGTATTTCTACTGCTAGCGTGTGTTGGGTCTTATGCCTCAGTATTTATCTGTCACCCGTACTGTCTGAGGGGTGTCCCTCAGAAATGTGACCCGGAGTCATCAGTCTCTGAAGCAGAAAAGACAGTTGATTTTGTTCCTTCTACCTATAAGACTGAAAAAAGATGGAAAGCAAGCAACAGAAAAAAAAACAAACAAAAAGGTTCCTCAACAATGAGCTGCTCTGGACAATTTCTGTGACTGTTTTCTTTGGCTCCTGCTTCTCAGGTAGAATCTTTAAGGCCAACTTAAAGCTGACAGTCCAGACCCCTTTGGAACACCTGCCCCAAAGTGCACCTGATAGAATGCTTTGGACTGAGTTCATAGAATCTTGGAGTCTTTGGAAAAAATGTTTCTAGAGCCAAATGTGATTGATCTAATATCTTGACCTTCCTTTTAGGTATAGGCGCTGACTTGAGTAAGCCTCCATGTCGAAAAGCCAAGGAAATCCGGAAAGAAAGGAAAAGGTTAAAGCTCATGCAACAGAGCTCAGCTGGGGGACCCCCGGGTCTCCAGGTTCAAGGAGAGTCACCATCTTTGAACCCACCAAAGGCTAAATGCAACCAGCCCAAGTCACTAGAAGACTTCATTTTTGAGCCTTTACCAGAGGATGCACCACACAAGTTAGAGGTATTTTGGAGAGCTTTGTTCTTGCTTCTGGTGTGTTGATTTAGGCCGTTTTGCTTCTTTATTGGGTATCTAGCTATTTTCATTAGAGTTTTTGCTAATCAATTAATGTTTTGATCTTACCAAATAAGAAATGAATGAGAACTGGTATGGAATGGCCTTCACATCTACTGTGTTTATTGCTATTTGAGGAGAACCCTTTTTTTAAAGATTTTTTTTTTTTTTTAAGATCCATTAGGCAGGTCAGCTACTATAGTTATGAAAATAGTTTCAGCCTTAGCATTTTATTTTGTCTGTACCTCTAGCTTTTTGTTCCTCATTAAATTTCATCATTAAATAATGCCAAAGAACCATAGGCTTTAAAATTTCACTTTTGGTAGTTTTTAAGTATTGAAAGAGAATAAATACAGCACACTTGGCAAATCAGAATCACTATTTTACTCATCTAGTATTCTGATCTTGAGCCAGTCAGCAGTTAGGAATTCAACGAAAGAGAGCTATACTGCTCCATCCTCTCATACTTACAGAGCTAATTCCTTTTTTCTTTTTCTCCAAATTGATCTACCATTTCCAGATTAAGTCTGGGTTTCTCATTATTAGTTCTGGTATTGGTAAGATTCACAAGTATTAGGCAAAATGATGCTATAGTTTTCTCATACTTGAGTAGTAACAGGTCAGCCTTTGAATTTATAGCTTAATATCATTTAAAAAATCTCACTTAATCACTAATGTATTGTTGTTGTTGTACCCATAGCAACCCTGTATAGGGTTTACAAGGAGAAGGCGGTGAACTTGAACCGCCAACCTTGCGATTCAAACCGACCTTGCAGCCCAGTGAATTAACGCACAGTGCCACACCAGGACTCCTACCACTAATATCTGACACTGAAAATTGGCTTGGGCACAGTCTGAACATTAGGACAACATATGTATTCTCACAACTGAGCTTCCTTCTAATAGCAATGATTATTGTAATTCATCGGCTGCTCTGATTTTGATATAGATTGAACTTTGTCCGTCCAAAATTGTGAGAGAGTTTGTTAGGCATTTGCTGTCTTGTTCTTTTTTTAGCTGACATTACTTTGATAGTAAATGTCTTCAAGAAATCAAGCAAACCTCATTATAGTTTTGCAGGATAAGTTTCTCTCTCTCTTTTTTAATGTAATGATAGCTAGGTGCTATAGGATAAGCACTGGACTGCTAACCTCAAGGTTGACAGTTCAAGCCCACCAGCTGCTCTTTAGAAACCTTAACAGGGTCCTTATGAGTCAGAACTGACTCAGTACCACTTACCACCACCACCAACCACCACCACTTAATGTCCACTAGGTGTCATGCTTTCATCACAGAACAACTACTCAGACAGCCATATACACACACACTCTCTCTCTCTCTCTCTCACTTTCTGTCACACACACACATACACGCGCACACACACACACACTTTTGCAGTTAGGCCTTTATTTTGTTTTTCTGTTTTGTTAATACATTTTAAATAATTAATACTTCATTTAGCCTTCTAGCACTTTTCCACATTGTAGTAAATTATATTTGCACCAGCATGAATATTTTGCTGTTTGGTTCTTCCGTTTTAAATTTTGCTCCCCTTCAGCCTCGTCATCCTGTGCCTCTGTTTTGATTGCTGTTTGGAGCTCAAAAATAGCACAAAGAGAATGGCCTTTGTCAGCCCTATGCTGGGAGGCTTAGGGCAGCAAAGGTTCCTGTCATTAGAGAGCGTTTTCTTTTAGCTAAGTACTCATAACTGTTACTAGTAATAACACTGAGAATCAGGTAATAGTAAGGAGGCAACCACTGAGCCAGTTTCTCATTTAATTTTCACGTGTGAGGAAACAGGCCCATAGTAAGCTGACCACTATGGTGGAATTACAACTTCAACAATGGAAATCTGACCTCAGATTCTCCGTTCTTCACTGTGCTCGGAAATGAGAGCCCTATTGTAAGGGTTGTCTCTTCCACTTACATAAAAGTAGTGACCAGTTTAACAATGCGTAAAGATGTTTCCAAGAGGTATAGTCAGTTTTAGTTCTTCGGAAGGACTTATTGAAGGTGAGTTGTATACCACAAAAAAGTGTATGTATGTGTGTGTGTGTATATATATATTTATTTATTTATTTTATTTGTGTGTGTGTGTGTGTGTGTATATATATATATATATTTATTTATTTATTTT